TTGTAATAATAAATATTTGTAATAATACAAGAAAAACACAGGAAGTAACTTCCTATATCATCAAAATGTTAGTTATTATTTCAGAGATTGAAAAAGTGTCATCCTGTATATAACAATTAAGCAGTCTTTTGTTTAGCTTCATTGAGCAGATGACGCGAGATTATCAATCTTTGAATTTGTGCAGTACCTTCGTAAATTTGATAAATTTTTGCATCGCGCATCAATTTTTCTACAGGATATTCAGTATTAAATCCAGCACCACCAAATATCTATAAAATATTTCAAATATGAAACAATTAGATTATTTTTTTAAACGAAACAAACGTGTTCTATAGTAATCAATTATGTACTTGTACAGCATCCGTTGCACATTTATTAGCTACATCACCACCATAGCATTTTGCAATGCTGGCAAGAACTGTAGCTGTTGGAAGACCCTGATCAGCAGCCCAAGCTGCTTTCATCCATGCAAGTCTAGCTGTTTCAACACCAATCGACATATCTGCGAGCATAAAAGCTATAGCTTGATGTTCTGCTATTGCTTTGTTAAAAGTTTTACGTTCCATTGAATATTTCGTAGCTTCATCTAGCGCTCTCTGAGCTAAACCAACGGATGAAGCTGCAACCTATAAGAAAGCCAAGAACAATGTTTAAACAGTTTAATTTCATATTATATATAAATATTCCCTTTATTTTACCATTGGCCTAGTCTTATCAAAGGTGTTCATAGCGATTTTAAATCCTTCGCCTTCCTTGCCTAAAACATTTTCTTCCGGAACACGGACATCTTCGAATGTTATCATTCGCGTGTCAGAAGCTCTTTGCCCCATGTTCATTTCCTATTTCGCCACAAAATAATTTTACTTTATTTTAGAAAATAAAATGATTTAATATTAAATGGGTAATATTTTAATAACAACAAAATTTACTTTACGACCTGGTGTTACACCTTCACTTTCGCGTTCAACAATAAAAGCTGTGAAAGCTTTACCAGCTGGAGCTTTTGGATCAGGATTTGTTCTTGTTAATAAAAAGTACCTATGCACATGTACTTTTCTATTAAGTAAATATCAAAATAAATTATTACAAATAAATTAATGATAAATTTTTTATACCAGTTAGCAACACCACCATTTGTTATCCACATTTTTGTTCCATTAATAATCCATTCTTTTCCTTTCTTTTCTGCCTTTGTTTTGACACCTGCTACATCTGATCCAGCTGCAGGTTCAGTGACACAATATGCCTACAATTTTCATATTGTGGAAGTATTGAGTTAATGCAAATATGCACAATAAATCTATATTTGATTATCTTACAGCAACAAGTGGCTCTTCGAGGAGTCTTCCAAGATATTTCTTTTGCTGTTCTTCTGTTCCATATGCAATTACAGGAGCTTGCTATAAATACAATTAAAGTAAAACTACTTTATGCAAATAAAAATATTGTAAAACTGAGCTTACTCCTAATCCTGATCCTTCTAATGCAGTTGATATTCCTGTACAACCATAAGCAAATTCTTCTCCAACTAAACAGTTATCAAAGGTACCAACATCCATTCCTCCTGTAATAATAACAGTTTACATGCTAATGATTTATCCTCTAAAATTATGTTTCCTTTGAAGTTATATAATTATACCACAATGTTGAGGAATACTCTTGTTCAATAAGCCTAGACTCCATGCTTTTTTAACAATGTCCCATGGATATTTTCCACTTCTATCATATTCAGCAGCACTTGGAATAATTTCTTCTTTTGTAAATTTTCTTGCTAATTCTTGCATTTCCTTTTGTGTATCATTTAGTTCTAATATAAATATTACATATACCATAATAAGAGGTCTTATTTTTATGGACATCACTATACTTTTTTATACATTTGTTATACCAACCAAAACTAAATCCTGTAGCAGATTTTGTTGAAAATGTTCGCATTACTTTTTTATGTGTTATACTTTTTAATACCTGATAAACATATGGTACAATATTAATATCTTTAATAGCATAACAGAATAAAATTGAGCACATAGCTGTTTTTGTATAATTGTGTAAATTATATTTTTACATCTTTCTATATATATGATCTTAAATACTACTTTGTACGAAATCTATTTTCAATCACTTACCGACCGTGAAAACATTTTGATGCTTCTTTGTTTCTACTTACAACTCGAAAATGTTCTCTTATTAAAAAATTCCAATACAGTTACTTTCGAATACGATGACGATTCGTAAACTTTTTATATTAAACTGTTGCTTTATCTTAAATCACCAAAATGTACAGCTCTCCTACTTCTTGAAAATACTGACTGATTACTGATTATTAATAAAGGCTAAAGTTCCTTTGCAATAAAATTATACAGACCAAAGTACAATGGCGCTGTTACATCCTTACAAAAAATACTTCTTATTTACATTGCGTTTTCACATTTAAAATTAAATTGATATGAAATGGGCATTTTTGCTATTCACCATTTAGTGCACATCGCATGTAGTGAAATATGAGGATTTACAAATAAATAGCTGATTGGCTATCTCAAAATCATACTTTCGTCTATCAAATTTATATTTATATACTGTAGGTAAATTTTTGGATGATATCAACGCGTAGTTAGGTACACTTAAACACATTGAAACATAAAAATAATTACAAGTGATTTATTGAACATAAATTACAGTATAGCTATAACTTTTTTTTTGTTACTAAATATGCAACCTTCAGCAATTATAACTAGCATTTTGTAGATAAGATTAATGTACTTTATCATTCAAGATTAGATTTAAAATTAATAAATAATGAACAAGCGAAAGTGTCTTATCAACTCAGAGAAATAGGCGCGAAAATTGTGGTCATTTCCCCGACATTTAAATTTTATCAAAAAATTTTGAGGCCATATTAGGAAATCTAGATTAATTAATAATTTACTATGCATATATTTAATTAAGCGACAAATAACAAGTTGTACATGATATAATAATATTATCTATAACAAAATTTAACTATTTAAGCTGTAATAAAGAAGCAAATAAATCTGCCAGTCAATATAGGATCGTCTTTGACGACTAAGTTATTAATATTTTTTTACAAAAGTTACAATATGAAATTAAGTTAATATATGTAAACAAGTAAGTGACTATGCTTGACCATTTCAATTTTTTGTTAAAATAATCATCAAAATTGACAATCAACTGTCGTAATCTCTTCAGCATGACGATAGAGATTCATCCATTAACAAACAATCCTACAGCAGCTTGGCATGAATTGTCACAACAGCAGAAAGTTATTAAAATAAATACTAAGCTTCCAACAACTGAAGCACCGAATGATAAGGTAAAAAGCTTAGATTACTTGTCATCTTTTTATTATTATAAAACATCCTTTAATTTAACCTAAAATTATCAATATGAAAATACGTACAGTGATATAATATAAGTGTAGAGATAGAAAATAATGGATTTGAAATGTTTAATTGTATTTTAGCTTCGTATTGTTTGTATGAGTGATACTCACTCATTAACACCATTCATAAAATTTGATATTCCTAAAGGAGATGTTTTCATACATGCTGGAGATTTTACAAAATGTGGTAGCTTGCAAGAAGTTGTAGAATTTAATAATTGGATTGGTGAGTAACATGAAACAGAGATGTTCATTTTCAGTGTTTCTTGTATTAATATATATTAATAGTTAATTAATCTGTTGTAGGTAACTTACCACATAAAAATAAAATTGTTATAGCTGGCAACCATGAACTTAGTTTTGATCCTACATTTACTCACCCCTTTTCTTTACAAACTAGTGGGGATCGTCAGAAACATACAGGGACCAGTATTCTTGATAACATACCCACATTGGGGATGTCTAAGGATACTCTTGCAGAAGCAATACAAACTATCAATGTTAAAAATTATTTAACAAATTGTACTTACTTAGAAGATTCTGAAATTGTAATACATGGAATAAAAATATATGGTACACCATGGTAAGTATTTATATCCAAAGTTATATTTAATGTTTGTATGTAGTTTGTACTGATAATAATTTTACAATGCAATATATTAAGTACCATGGACAACATTTGTAGAACATTATTTCAGATATAATGCATACACTCCTAAATAATTTCCTAAAAATTGTAGGCAACCAGAATTTTGTAAATGGGCATTCAATGTACCTCGTGGAGAAGCATGCCTTTCAAAGTGGGAAATGATACCATCAGATACAGATATCCTTGTCACACACACACCTCCTGTAGGACATGGAGATTTGTGTTGTAGTGGTGTAAGAGCTGGATGTGTTGAATTACTTTCTACAGTTCAAAATCGAGTTAAACCAAAGTACCATGTTTTTGGGCATATACATGAAGGTATGTTATTAAAATAAATTGTTTTCCACTTAAATAAATGATGTCCTTTCTATGTTACAGGGTATGGCATTTCATCTGATGGGAAAATAATATATGTGAATGCATCAACATGTGATTTAAATTATTTACCAAGTAATCCACCAGTAGTCTTTGACATAACATTACCACCTGGTCATTGTAAATCATAAAAATCCGAGAAGTATAGTAACAAATTTCATAACATTTCTTATTGAAAAAAAAAGTATACAAATATAGGAAGCTTAATTTATTTATTCGTAAATTTCTGTGAATTTTACTACAAATTATGTATTCTTTTGTAATAATTACAATCTTATTTAAAACAAAGAAAATTACAGGACAGTATAAAAAAAATTAGTTTTATGAGATCATTTACTTGAGAGCATTCTTATTTATATAAGATGGCATGTAAATAGAACAGTTTTGTACTTGGATAAAATTTTAGTTTATATTATTTTAAGAAACTATCTCACAAACATGTGTTCAAACAAATTATAGGAATCTTATGTACTACGTAATTTTTAATATAAAACTTACACATTTTTATCTTTATTAAATTGTTGCACATAATACTACAAATTAAATTATAGATTAAGTTACTTTATCATGTTAAAGTACATATAAGATCTTAATTTTATTGCTATGTTAACAAAATATTTCGTATTGCAATCATGGAATACGTCATTCAATATATTTGGTTAATTTCTTCACAATTGATTGTTTACACTTTTAATTACAATGTAATAAACAATGTTTATTAATCGTAGAGTTCAATAAAACATAATATCCGAGTATTATAGTGCAACATATAGACCATAGGTCGATACGTTGTAGTTAATAATGAAAGTCAAACAAGTTTCTCAGCTTGATATTTAACTAATTAAATAACTGTACTTGAGGATACTTGTTTTAATTACATTTCATACACAATATAATGTTTAACAAAATATTTTTAAAGACTTAACTATAGCATGATAGATTGTAACTTCAATATTTAAATTATAAGTATTAATAGTAAAAATTATCATGTATATAATTTTTTCAATATAATAATAAAAAGTAAAAATTGCATTTTTTTTAAAGATATTTATTACAATATCCAATTCATTAACACGCGGCATTTTTTATTAAATTAAAAAAAATTTGCATGTAAACAACGCTGTGTTTATATTGACTTATATTTTCATATTATATTGGTCCAAAGCTAACTGTAAAGTCACTTTCCTCGATTAACTGAGGGCATAATTGTTTTCGGCAATAGAATTATGTTCATATAAATAGCGACCTTTTTCTTTCCATAAAAATTGCAGTAGTAAAAGATAGTCGAAAAAAATACAATGTCTTTCTGACATTATTTTTCTATTATATATAATGTAGTAGATTGATGTATTAGAATATGGCCATCATACCACATCACATCAGAATTGTAAAAAGCTAGCTGTTTCGACGCTTTGTATTACCAGTTGAAAAATTGTACATACATATTGCAAATTTTTACATTTGACTGTAAAACATGAAATATGCCTCTATGGCGTGTTCATATTGTATGAATGTCTATTTGCATCCATTGCAATACTTTTTGTCCCCAGTTATATACAATTGCTAGGATAACTCTAATGTCATTTCATATCGCAATAACAGATCGTGGAATTTAATTTAAACGGTATAATTATGTTTTAACAGGGATAATAATGTATTCTGTATATTAAGTAATGGCCTAGCGAAATTTTAATTACTTATAAACAATTTCACTTTGAAGGTTCTTGTTTGTTGTTTTATCTATTCCTTGTAAACTTATTTTTCCGAAATGGACAACACAGTATGTTTTATTCGTCTAATGGTTCACTTTTTATGTACGTCTATCAAAGAAAAAAATATATACGATTTTCAAATGAAAAACGGGTTACTAGTGCTTATTTCAAGTTTGCTCCTATAGGCAAATTAGTTTAAACTAAACTAAGAATAACAGCAAACGGATGTAAAAATATTACATTCTTCTTACATATTTTAAAAGAGTACATTATCAGGAAGATTTGCATCTAATACGGTACATTTGAAAACAAGTACGATACAGATTCACCGTTGTGAGTCCGTCTTACTGCCTCGGCAAACATCATTGATACATCGATACACTAAAACACAAAAACAATCAAATTAATTAAAACTTATTCCTTTTTGTTGATAAGCACACCTGTACTACTACTGTTACTGATTTACCTGTATCTTTGGACAATCCTTCATATGACCATCTTGAGGAATGGTATTTGTTACTACCACAGCTTCAAAGCAAGCATTATTAATTCTACTGATTGCTGGGCCACTGAATATACCATGTGTTAAAATTGCATATACTTTTGTGGCTCCAGCTTCTAAGAGTTTTTCTGCTGCATGACAAATGGTGCCACAAGTGTCTGCCATGTCATCTACCAGAATAGCAACTCTATCTTTTACATCTCCAACTAATACCATACTGGCAACCTCGTTCGCTTTTTTCCTTTCTTTATGTATAAGAGCAAATTCAACATTTAATCGATCCGCAATGGATGTTACCCTGTTAAGATAATTTCTCCGTAACGTTTGCTTTAGATTAATATCTACCTAGGTAAATTACCTCTTAGCACCACCAGCATCTGGAGAAACGATAATGCTGTTTCGCCATTCAACAATGTTTTCTTTAATCCATTTTAAAACAGCTGGTTCAGCAAATAAATTATCAACTGGAATGTCAAAAAATCCTTGAATTTGACTAGCATGCAGATCCATTGTAATAATGTGATCAGCTCCTGCTACTGATAACATGTTTGCTACTAATTTTGCGGAAATAGGTGCACGACTCTGAAAAAAAATTGCATATTTCAATTTTGTGAATATAAATGAGTCTCTCAAGTCCATTTGCAACTGGAAATATCCTGCAATTTAAAAAAAATTGCTATTAAAATTTTTGTAACACTTTAAAAAGTTGTGTAAGGTCAACAAATAAAGGAATATATAACTCAAGATATTCTTGGTAAAAGACATATGTCATATAAAAGAAGTTAAACATTTAATTCTTTGGAGGGGACAAAATATGAATACAATGGCTATGTTCTGAAATACTCATTAAAAATATGTTGTACATGTGTACATACAAATAAAAGGAAAAACAGTATGTTGCAAATGCACCCCAGTTAGACTCAACAAAAAATGTAAGTAAAGCAGAATTCAAACTTATAAATTATAATACAGAACACAGTGCATCCTGACATTTTAATTTAATATGAAAAACATAGAAGGACTTTTAGAAGAATAGAATAAATAACTTTGTAAGTTTAAAATTATAATCATGGTTCATAATGAACAAACTGATGTACTATTGATATTATACTAATTAACATAACATTTCTTAAACAAACCCAAATGCATTGTGCTCAGGAAAATAGTTATAATAAAGTTATCTGAATAAACTTATCTATAATGAGCATAAACTTCACAAAAGCTACCTAATGTTAACATCTTAAGAGTAATTTTTGTTTGCAAATCATTTTACTGGCATAACATTCTATTACCATGACAACACAATCACAGTTTGTTCGTGTCAAAGCACTATTTCGTTAATAAAATATGCATTCTTTGATTAGTGTGTTTGGACGATAACATTTTTAGCAACATAATAATTAGTACCCATTTAACATTCAGGTGTGTACCCCATTATGTATATGTAGATTAAAAATGTATGTAGAATGCTATTATATTAATATTTTGCCCTCTCATTCAGATATCAACGATATGCTCTGACCAAATAGTTCATTCATTCATTCATTCATGGGGGTACCATTGTGCTATATAGCAACAATTATAAGTTTTGTTAGTCCTACAAAGAAAATTTTGTAAGAAACTAAGAATCATATTACAAATCGAATTGTTCATCGAGTTATAGTTACAAACGTTACACTCGACAATCTTGCTGCGATTATACTCACTGTAGAGAGGTCGGGCACAAAATCCTGAAAATACCCAACTATTCAGAAATTTAAGAATATGTATTATCAATTTTTTGACAAGAATTGTTTTCAATATATATTTTACTCTGTACAATACAATCTATTAGAAGATTAATCGTTAAAAGCAGAATTTTAATAACAACAATAGTAATAATAATAATAACAATAATAGTATTGTTGTATAAATTAAATAAATTTTCCTTAAACCAATATACCTAAATTGTGCTTATGTCTGTGAGATGTAGTAGCATGCAATTATTAATGCAATTATTAATACTTTAAATGAATAGTAATAAATATTTAAGTAATGAATTTAATATAATAAAATGTATTAAATAGGTAATGATAGTAAATATTGTAGTACGGACGCACGGAAGGCCCCCCTCGATGAATTCTGATACTAGTTTTGCAATATTCATCTGGGTTATCTATTTTCTGATAACCTCAGATAATTGCTAAACGCAATGCTCCAGTATAATGTATTTGTTGTTTACCGTTTTGTTAACTTTTTATTACGAGATTATATCTTTTATCCCATTTATGTCCCATTTTATAAAATGAAGTATTACCCTAAGACCACATATGTGTACTAATTAAAATTAATATTTCTGAAAAATTGTTTCATGCAGATTGTATGAGATTTAAATGTTTGTATTAAACAATACATGTGTCATTTTTCTCTGAAATGTATTTTGTACCTTTAAGCTGTCCCATAAAATGCATGAAATGAATAACTAATTCCTTTTAGTATAATATCTATCCTTAACTTTTTGCATGCTATATTTTACTATTACATATGAGAAATTATAAATCAATTTTTGTACAATGCATGTAAAACTCTGCATGAAATACTGCATGTATATTTACATACAGTAAATATTTATCATATTTAAAGTGCTTACAATATATGTTTGAAACTTGAAATCATTTTCTTGTAACATATTTTAGAACTTGATATTAATATGAATTTATGTTAGTTATGACCTCAATAAAAGTATGTATGCAATAATAAGTAAAAGTCCTACAAAACAAGTGTACCATCTGGTACAACCCAATGATGTAAGCCAAAAAATTACAAGCATATCTTGTATGATGATGAAAGTTGATGTTTTGTGCTTCAAAAATGATATTACTCCACTGGTCTGTTGCAAAGCTAATAAACAAATAGAGAGCAAAAAAAGACCGCTACAAGTTACCCTGAATTTCCACTCGTTTGACTTCATGACAATTTGATTCTTAGAATTTGAGTTGTCACCTCCATCACCACCCTGTGAAGATACCATATAAAAAAAATTTTACTTCCTCTTCAGCAAGTCATATTGTCCTTAATGCAAAGGTTGCATTTTCATTGTACATGAATGATTACAAAAGACATAAAATAAACAATTTATTAAAAATTTATTGAAACCAGAATTTATCACACATAATATGTAATATGTACACAAATGTGATGAATTACATCAGAAATGTTTACTTGTGAGAAATAAGTACATAATAAATATTACTTGTAAACAATATAAGGCGCGTACAAAGCTAAATTAGAAATTGAAATATAATACTACTTCATAAAAACTGTATATTTACTATTTTTTTTTTCTACAAGAATATCTACTTTATTTGCATATGCAAAGCAATTGAATCATGTTAATTAATGGCATACATCAACAAGATGACTATTATGTATCTAGAATATTAGATTCAGTGAAGCATATTTTCTGTAAGTTAATTTGTTATATAAGTGTTTTATGTTTACACAATTTCTAAGATTTACTTAAGGTAACAATAATAAAATGTTATTAATTTTTAGTAATAACACAAATAAACTATTAGATGTTGAAAAGTAAAGAATAATGAATACATAGGATGTATAAATATATAGTTACACATAGAGATAGATATAGATATTTTAAAGTCAGTAACAAACAAACAACAAATGTCACAACACAATTCAAATGAAATCAATTGTCAATTATTATGTACTGAACATAATAAGAAAAGTGATATTAAATAATAAGAGATTTTTGGTATAAGGTTCAATAGTTGGTTCAAGCATGGTAAAATACATACATGGTCAGAATATCTTATAAGAGATACCATAGAATGGTGATAGAACTATAAGATTACAAGTAATATAAATAAATTAAACTTAAACTTCATTAATACCTTTATAGTATTTTACTAAATTTTTATTAATATTCTATAACATGTAAAAAATAAAAGAAACATGTTTTATCAAAAATATCCTACCTTATCTTTCTTATCTTGCCTTGCATATGGGAAACAAGGAATTACAGCAGTTACTCTAGATGCAGATGCAATTTTACATGCATTGATCATAATCAATAGTTCCATCAAATTGTCATTTACTTCTCCACTTCCACTTTGTACAATGTACACATCTTCTCCTCGAACAGACTCTCCTATTTCCACACTAGTAAAAGTATAAAGGAAACAATTCTAAATATAATAATATTATTAATATATATTGTGCATAAATAACTGTATAAGCAGCTAATGAATGTAAAAACATAGATTAATCAACTTATAGATATGATACATGAATTTATAGATGTTTCTTTACACCCAAATTCCTAATATACAATTAAATTAGAGTTAACTTGCAAATACTTTAATGCATATAAGCCTCTATAAAATTTGTAAACTGTTAAAATGACATATACACATATTTTACTTATTTTTGTGTATGCATCTGATTTTTAATATACTCAAGATTATTTTCATTTTAAAATTGTATACACTGTGATAAGAGTAAAAACTGAACACATAAACAAACAATAACACAGCTATAAAATATGCTTATCAAGTACTTGTCAAGTTAAAATACTCTTGAATTACATATTGATATTTGTAAAGATACACCGATGTTAGAATTCATTAGAATGTGTATTAATAATTGTACTAGTTGACCTTCAAGTTAAACGTCGCGGCTTTATAGTATACGGGAAAACCGGCCTTGCGCGACAGGGTTGTTTGTACACTGGTAGGGTTGATAAATTAACAGGAATACAGAAAAAATAATATAAAAATACTAAAAATGTTCCGCCCTTTACAGAAAGATGTAATAAAAAGAAGAAATTTAATTGAAATTTCAGGTGACACGTGGTCGGAACCTCAGTTTAACGTAATGATAATAACGTGGTTATAGTGGAGATTGCGACCATTACCATGTTTCGAGGTTGCTAAATTTCTTGGTGACAACTTTCCCAATGTCGATACCGAGTCTGTCGACGATACGTTGAGCCAAATCTGGATGCGACGTGCCACTAAAGACTTTAATGTTTGGCATTCTGCTTTGTAAAAGTCGCCCGCGAGAATTTTCTAAGTTTGCGCGTAACAAACTCTTAGCACGCACTGGCTGGGACACAGGCATCACTAAAACAGAAACCACAAAGAGACTATCCAATCAGAGAACGCTTTTAATGCCGGATGTGACGTAAATATTATGCTCCGCCTATTGAGCGTTGGACGTAACCGCGTAAAGAAATTTCTTATCTATTTTTTTCTTTCTCGACAAAAAAATAGACTAAAACCAACAAGTTTATTTTGTCATATGATGAAAATTGCAACATTTTTGACAATGTTACTCGTCATATTTGTTATGATTGCTGCAATATAACCATCTGTTTACGAACAGTATTAATAGTCAATTTTATAATGCAATAATCCATTAACTTATATGTATTCCATCTAATTGTAAGATGTAAACTATGCTTTTTATTTATTTTTATATTACGTGTGACTTAAAATAGATTAATGATTAATTTAGTCCACTATAATTGTACTCGTCATGTTTTCTATTATAACCTTTCTTAGCTATATGGTAAATTTAGTCAAATTATTACTTCTTTGATGTACGTTTGTTTTCGTGCAAACTGTAAACTCTCTGACGTGTTTCAACGAAGATGTGTATAGTTTATATAAATAATTAAATTCTTGTTAAAATTATTCATTTACTATTTACGAATTGGCGCCACAATGTGCAACGACGTGAACGTAGACGAAATTCAAAAGGGTGAATACGAGCGGGTGACAGTCAACTTTTCTCATCAATGTGGCGCCGGCGGTGATTGAATGATAAATTGGATGTGTCCGTGAGCGGAGATTTTAGTATAGAACACGGGTTAGAACGATCGTTTTTCTGAATAGAAAGAGAGAACAAATTCAAGTACTATTACCTGAAAGATTTGAGCACGTTGACGCTTTCAACAAAGTTCATTAATCTATTCGAATGACGATGACAGTGTGCTGACCGTCTTACCGATTTGGAAGCTATGGCGGCGAACATCGCGGCACAGAGAATTCAACGCGAATTTAAAGAGGTTATAAGGAGCGAGGAGGTGAGTGTACAATAGTTTCCTGTGATTTGAAAAAGTATGATTTGTTTTTTGTAAAGTGTAAATATCAAGATTGCTTAACAACATTGTTTAGTTGTGCGATATCATTCCGAAGAAATCTCATGTGTGGCGTGACAAAAATGTGCCGCAATTCATTGGCTGATAAAATCACCGCGAACAAAGCGTAGGCACCTGTTGTATGGTATTCTTGACTGTCATCGGTTTTTAAGTCCGTTAAAATTCGCCAATTAAACATTTCTGTTATGTTACAGTAAAAAAAAAATGATATGAAGTACTTTTACTTCAGAAGAAAGAGAATTATGAACGAATTTTCTACACTTTTCAGAGATTCTTCAATGAATTAGAATGCACCCTCAACTGCATAGAATAATGTATTTATTTTGTGATTAAATGTAGGATTAATTGTTGATGCATCATTTTTTCCATTAAATCTTTGTTTAAGTAATACATACCATGTGGTTTCAATTTCTGTGAGCAATGACATGCTCGTTTGGTCTTGCGTTGCAGAAGATCCATTCTCTATGCACAAAAACATCTGTTTTGATCTACCATCTCCACATGTTTATACAGTGGCAAAGTATGTCAGAATGTCTCAATCTTTATGTTGTGACAATGTAAATTATCATTGTATGATGTTACATCATTTTGTTATCAGATGATAGTGTCAATAGGTCATTGGTTATATTCTGCATACATTTCCAAAAAGTTATTTAATATTTGCCATTATAATGCTGCATAATATATAGTAGTTTTCTCTGTACCTCTATTAAAAGTATTATATGCTTTATTATTTATATAAAAAATTACATAACTTACATGTCATTTAATAAAAAACACTGATGCACGACAGGCATTTATAATTGTAAGTATGTATCTGTTGGAAAAGTTTTGATGGTAAAATAAATTGGTTATAAAAATATTTATTCTTGTTAATAATCTATTTAAATTTTGTTGTAGGTTGCAAAATGTGCGATTAAAGTTGACTTGGTAGATGATAGTTTTACTGAATTAAAAGGTGAAATTGCGGGTCCACCAGATACACCATATGAGGGAGGTAATTTTGTACTCGAGATTAAAGTTCCCGAGACATATCCCTTCAATCCTCCTAAAGTAAGCACTTTGTAAGTCAATATGATTAATGTATGTTAATGATAAAGTCTTAATTTTATATTGTTCAAAATTAAGAAAGGTTAATATAACCTAAAGCATGACAAAGCATTTTCTAAGTTATCTTTGTTGAACTTAACTATCAATTTGTTGTTTATAATACTATAAGTGGAGCTCATGTGCTATAAAATATTAATATATTTAAGTAATTAGAAATATTTTATATTGTTGTTATATTAAAAACTTTTATATAAGTAAGAGTTAAGTATGATAAATATGTAAATATTTGTTTATGCACACACACACTCTGTATTTTAAATAATACGTTTTTGTTAAGCATGTAATTTTTTGTAGGTGCGATTTATAACAAAAATATGGCACCCTAATATATCTTCAGTAACAGGTGCTATTTGTTTGGATATATTGAAAGATCAGTGGTATGTATTTGGGTCAAATAAGATAGTATGTAGGGCATTGATATTTTGAAATGTATTGTATATTTTAAATATTGATTTTTAGGGCTGCTGCTATGACTTTGCGTACAGTATTGTTATCATTACAAGCTCTATTATCTGCAGCAGAACCAGATGATCCACAAGATGCAGTAGTGGCTAGGCAATATAAAGAACATCCAGAAATGTTTCGTCAAACTGCCAAACATTGGACATTTGTATATGCAGGTGGTAAGTACATGTTATAACTGTAACTATATATGCACAATTGTTTTACTTAATTCTGAAATTAATGATATTTTTTGCAAAACCATTAAAACAATTACAGGACCAGCAAAGATGCCTGATTTAGATGATAAAATAAGGCGACTAACAGATATGGGTATTGAGGAACATAATGCAAGAGTTGCTTTATCTTCATATAATTGGGATTTGGAACGTGCCACTGAGCAGCTCTTCAGTTAGTGATAACTGTATAGTTAATCTGTCATATAAAAGCACTGCTCATTTTGTCATTACAAAACTTCTGTAACACCATGCCCAATTACTGATACCATAGCAGTTTCATAATCAAATTCAGCACCTGTAACGACAATATTTCAATGGCAAAAAATTCACGGAAAATTCATTTCAATATTCTTAAATAATAGTCATTTATTTAACTTGTAAAATAGGCATGAAAAGACAGTAACTAATAAAATCTGTTAAGTCCAACTTTATAGCCATACTTTAAAAAGTTTTGTGAAAATTATATCATTTTTCATCTCACATTCATTACAAATTTTTAAATGTTATTTAAGCCATCAGTTTTTGATTCTTACAAAAATTACATGATGCATTTATAATTTTTTTTATAGGAAAATTAGTTTCATGTGTTAAACATTTATTAAATTTCTTTGTACAATTACTGTATACTTTTAAATTTCTCATTGGCCTTTCCTTTCACTTTGTGTAACTATATTCAAATGATTGGTTTTTTTCAGTTTTGAATGAAGAAATACATTTAATTTTTGCATGAAGCAGTATTTAGTAAATATTTTTTTGTGTTTTTATAAATCTACATCTATGTTATATACTCTGTTACATCGAAACAAAAATCATAATTAGTTTATACTTCTATTATTAACTTCTTGTAGATTTCTTTAAGCCGTAAAGAGGTTTACTCTAATTAAATCTGATTGTACATTATTGAAATAGACACAAACTTGTTAGTGTTAAATGGTATTTGTAAAAAGAGCCGTAAACATAAATGCTGTACTGTTAATATTTAAATTGTGTACATTTTTGGTGATGGGTTATGTTTCAGTGATTCATAATTTACTATGTCATTTATAAATATTTTTTTACATATGCATAGTTTTCTGTACTCGAAGCTGGAGATGTACATTCCACTTTAAAAAAAAATTGCATTTACTACATCATTAAGAATGATATAAAATAAATTTGATTTTTAAGTAAGCATAAGTTGACAACAAAAAATATTAAAAAGTATGGCATTGATACTTCCAAGTAACGTTGACACTTCCAGCTTATGAAATTTCAGGAAAACCAGTTTTATATTAAGAATATTTAATAAAATCTATAAAGTTATGTTGTTTGTGAAAAATTACAGGTTTATAAATAATTTAAGAAAAAACTAATTACTCTTAAATCACTAATAAAATAGCAGCTCATGTAGAATACATTTGAAACTTGTTCAAAGAAAACTACTTGTGTAACATTCTATACATTATCCTCTACGAGTTACATAGATTTTTCTTAACATATTTAAGCAATATCATGTCTCTGACAGTGCTAAAATAGGAGTTTTTAATTTTTTTTTACATTTTCTAGTAATGGAGGCTGTGTTAGAGGTGTACTAATAGATTATAATACTGTTTGGTTTATTTGATCTAGAGTTGCTGATTTTAAAACTTAAATACACATGGGTTAATTTAAGAAAATAATTAGTTACAGCATCTATAAAGATTC